CATGACCCCTTTGAGGGTCGAACAACCCTTTCACAGAAGTAGCCCGATTCATAACAGTAGCAAAATGACAATGATGAAGTAGCGATGAAATTAATTTTATGGTTGGGGGGGGGGTCACCCCAGCATGAGGAACTGCACTAAAGGGTCACGGCATTAGGAAGGTTGAGAACCACTGCTATAAACTCTCACATTGTTGTGCTTTTTTAAAAAATTGTTTTATTAGGGATGTAGTGCTTTTTAAGAAAATGCTGGCTTATCTAATTGGCTGGCCAGAGTCTTCAGTTCTGTTATTAAAGCCCGTCATTCCAAATCCGTCATGGCGTCTTGCTGGTAATAATCTTTCGAGTGGCCTCCACTGAGCATGTTGCAATAGCCTCAGGTTTGGCATTGCTGTATGTCCTGTGACCCAGATGTAGTGTGTCCTCTTACTACAGAACCTCTGGTGCAGTTAGCGGCCACGGTAAACCGAGAAGCTTAACTGGCGTGGTATCTTTTTAGGTTAAGAAGTAGTTCAAGTGTGTGATGTATATTTGTTAGCATATCCAGTGCCTATCCCCCACTATATTTCTTTTCTCATGATTGATTTCACTCAATGTTTCTCTGTTAACATATCACCCCAACTCTATTCACATGGTCCTGGTAGCAACTGCTTGGAGTGGTCTCTTCACTGAGAATAACAAAGTTATATCCGTTAGACAACCATGGTACAAATATTAATGGAAAGCCTGCATTGAGCCAGGGGCATCCCAAGGGTAGTGAAGACAGATTCAAGTCCTGTCTTAAGGAGCAATAATCCAAAACAAGAGCCAGAATCTCCCCCCACTAGATCAGTCATGATAGCATGGGATGAGTGTCTAAGAGGGAGGATTTGTGAGAGCTTGTGCTTCGTACACTGGGAGGTGATTCAGGTGGGGATGAGGAGGGAGGGAGGGGTCATCTCCACAGCCATTGGCCCAAATCCATTCACAGAATGTTGGGCTGCACCCAGAGGCCCATACCAGATCAGGAATCAGCTCTGTGGGGATAGACCCCTGAGGATGCTCACTAAGGGGCCATTTCTCAGGTCCAGGAGTCTCTGGGCCTGGGCAGAGGCACTGCATGCTCCAGCAGCGAGGGGTCCGGCGTCCCCTCTCTCCCTTGGGCACAAGAGCAAGCGCCCTTTCTGAGCCTGCCGTTGAGTTCTTATTATGTACTTAAGCCTGGGTGACGTTTTGTTTTTTTTTAAGCATGTGACGTGAGATGCTTCAGTGATAGGCCTCATCCTTAAACATTAGGACTGTGTGTTTTGTATATATCAGGATTCAGAATACTTATATGACACGCCCCTGCGAATAAACACATATCTAGAATCGACATTATAAAATGAGTTACTCACCCCACGACTGATGTTTGTGAACTTCCCAGGTTTTGAGCTTCGTAGTTCTGTGGCAGCAATGAAAAGATTTTAAAGTCCTTAAAACAGACCGTCATTGTCTCCATGTCACGGTGCGTTTCAACAGTCGCATTGGTGACTGGTGTGCGACGCGGTGAGAAGCTGATCAGCGTATGCTCTCCTGATCCTTGCGTTCTAAACCAGGCCCAGGGTGGCACAGAAGGGCAGCTTCTTGAGAGCAATGCCGCTCCAAGTGCTGGCGTCTCCTAGCATGTCTTGCCACGCTGCCTATCCTTCAACTCTCCCTTTCCTTGGCCTTGCTTAGGGCAGGGTGTGAGAGGGTCAGGCTTGTACAAACCAAACCAAATGCCCTGGAGTCAATTCCAAAGAATGGAGTGGAATTGCCCCGTGGGTTTCCGAGACTACAACTCTTTATGGGAATCGAAAGCCTCATCTTTCTCCTAAGCAGTGATTGGTAGTTTTGAACTGTTGCCCTTTTAGCCCAATAGCTATACCACCAGAGTGCCCTCAAACTGATAAAAGAACTTTTTCATAAAGCCAGATGGAGAATTCCTGCATGTAAAGCTATTTCCTGGTATGGTTGGGGGCAGGGAATAAAGAGAGCAGAGGAGATCGAAAAGAAAAAGGATGAGTGAACACTGGCAAATGAAAGGGTGAGGTGAGAATAAATGTTTGAAAACAGGGGTATTAAAAGGTAAAGATCTGAAGCAGAAAAAGTGGAAAGAGGCCCAAAGAAAGAAGGTTCTCAGATGGCATTTCAGCCAGGCCACCCCCTGGCTGATAAGACAGCGACCCTGGATCTCAGCGTTAATGCGCTCTTCCTCCCTCGGTGCCAACACACCCCTCCGTCCACTGGGGCTGTGTCCAGGCGTCAGGAGGAAGGGGATCTCAGGCTGTAGGCCAGTGGTTCTCAGCCTGCCCAGTGCTGTGACCCTGTCATACAGTTCCTCGTGTTGTGGTGGCCCCTCCCCCCAACCCATAACATTATCCCTGTGAAAGGTCCTTCTCTAGCCACTCATTTCAGGTCCCCTCAGTGGCTGGCTGCGAGGTTAGGCCTTGCTTGAGAGCTGGGTGCTGGGTGCTGAGGGGGTAGTTGAAGAGCTCGGCGCTGACAAGGTCCCTGGGCATTACACGTGTTTCATGTGCTCGCTGCTTATCCGATGGACTCGAGATTCATGTCCACCCAGAAGCAAGCGAGGCCCTGTCCGTCAGCTATGGGAACCCCTGTAGAGTGTGGGGCCACCATGAGTCAGAATTGACTCAGCGTAATCGGTGCTGCTGCTGGAAGAATGTTGACAAGACAGTCATCCTTATCTCCAGCATCGGCCCTGCCTCTTAAAAGCAGTTACCCCTGGGGTCGCAAGACTCCAAAAAAGGTCACCGAGAGAGTAGCTTTAACTGCTGCGATCTCTGGAACCACCCCAGAAGGAGCCTCGAGGACATTTGGAGCACTGGAACCGGCGACTGTTTTCGCTTTTCTCCCTTGCCGTTGGGACCAGTCCTTCGAAGCCTGGTGGGTTGTGCAGCCTCAAGGCGAGGGTGTTGGGGGCTCTGTTCTGTTGGTTCCCTCTGTGCCTCACAGTCAGCCCGGCATGGAGTCACAGACTCTTCTTGTCAAACCGCCTTCGTGGCTTGTGTGGTGATTCATGAGGCTGACGGAGGGAGAGATGTTGCGAGCTCGGGCATCACTGCGTACTCCATGAGGATCTCTGATCGTGACTTCAAATAAGAGTCCATAAACTGATGTGACCGGAGCCTGCCCAAGACCAAGACTGTCTGGCCCTCCTATCCGAGTCCTCGTGTAAGAAATGTGCTTCAAAATTGATTATGGTGATGATGCCCAACTCTTCCTAATACGATTGAACCGTTACAGGGTATCACAGGCGAAGCATATGCCAAAAAACAATAATTTTTTAATGTGGTTCTCTTACAAGCTTACCAAATAGGATTATTGTGGCTCTTTCTAGACTCCTAATTGGTGGGGAAGGAGCGCTGGTGGCCTAGTGGTTATCCACTGGGCTGCTACCCTCCAAGGCAGCAGTTCGAAACCACCAGCAGCTCCATGGGGAAAGATGGACTTTCTACTCCCATAAAGAGCTACAGTCCCGGAAACCCACAGGGCAGTTCTTCCCTGCCCCACAGGGTGGCTACAAGTTGACCTCTCAGCTCAGTGGCAGAGTGTGAGGTGGTAAAGACGGATGCCTGGTGGCATAGTCACCGTGGGCTACCTGCTACCACAAGGACAGCAGTTTGAACCCATCAGCCACTCCTCGGGGTAAGGATGAGGCTTTCTGCTCCCAGAAAGACTGACAGTCTTGGAAACTCAGAGGGGGCTTTCTCTGCATCCTACAGGGGTGCCGTGGGTCAGGATTGACTCAGTGGCAGTGAGTTTTTAAGTGGTGAAGGTGCTTGGAAGCCGTTAGACCCATCAGGAAGAGGGTGACATTTTGAAGCTAGGTACCCCATTAACTGACAGCTTCATTTGTTGTCACCTGGATTTCTATTGAGGGCTACAATTTTCATGTAACCTCGGCCCATCCCAAGACCCAAAGAGAGAGCTGGATTCTCTGGTGATGTTTTCTCTTTCAGATTCGAAAGTGATTGGGGGGTGGGGGGGCGCTGACTAGCAAAGTCACAGCATACTTAGTGTTGATTTCTCTGTGGGTGTATCCTCAGGAGAGATTTATTCAGATCTCCCTCATCCTTCAACCATTCCTTGGAATACCGAACATGAGGATGTCAAAGCGAGGTGGTTTAGGACAGTCTGGCACAAGGAAAAATCTATTGGAGCATTGGTTAGTTGGATTGAATGTGGCTGCAAGTAAGAAGAAATCTAGCTAGAGTTTTTAAACAAATCAAGGTTTGTTTTACATACAATGTAAGACATTGGAGCAGAGTCGTATCAGCATTGATTCAGTGGGTCAGGGTTAATCAAGTGGAACTTGACCCGTTACAGCCACAACAACACACTCACACTTAAGTCTAGGACAGTGGTTCTCAACCTTCCTAATGCCGTGACCCTGTAATACAGTCCCTTGTGTTGTGGTGGCCCCCCAACCATAACATTATTTTCATTGCTATTTCATCACTGTAATTTTGCTACTGTTATGCATCGGGCGACCCCTGTGAAAGGGCCGTTTGACCTCGAAAGGGGAGAGACGCTGGTCTGGAAGAATGTGGACTGTGGTATCAACACAGCACCCTGATTTATAAAATGAAAGGTTCTCAGAGGCCTCCTCTAAGAGCTGTGAAGTTCAGCTGCCCACAACTGGATGGTGTGTCTCCCCTGCCTCACCCTCCTCCTCCCCCTAGTTGCAAGGAAAACTGGGATTGGCCTAATTGCCGTTGTCCCTTGTGATGGCAAGAAAGATAAGAGTGGACCTTGGGTAGACAGCTAACAGAATTATGGTGGATCTTTGTAGTTTATTCCAAGACCTGCCTGAATCTTTCTACCGTCTTGTTACTGAGGTCTCTCTTCTCCCTCTTTGGGGGGCGGCACCGTGGCGGAGGAACTGGGTGAACTCTGTAAGACAGACTGAAGCGCTGGTACAGTTGGTGGCCTGTGGTGTCTACCCTCCCCTGCTGACCTGTGTGTTCATTTTTCCAGATGTGCCTCTTCAGCCTCCCGCATCCCGTAATGACAGCGTGCCTAGTTACTGCAAGAATGATGAGGGGGATATATTCCTGGCAGCTGAGTCCTGGAAGCCTGACGTGTGTACCAGCTGCGTGTGCATGGATAGCATAATTAGCTGTTACTCGGAGTCTTGCCCATCAGTATCCTGTGAAAGACCTGTTTTGAGAAAAGGCCAGTGCTGTCCATACTGCATAGGTAAGACCAACCAAAAACAATCTTTCATTCTACCAGTGGCCACTAAATCTACACGGACAGCCATTTACTTAAATCCGTGAATATATTTGAAATGGAGTTTTCTGGATGACATCCAAAGAGACCCAAAATGGGGAGGTGTGCCCCCGCTGAGAGGTGATCAGCATTTAGGAGCTGCTCTCTGAGAGTGATGGGAGTGCGGTTGATTGGATTTTCAGTATCCGAGTCATCTTTCTGTCTCTTCACATTTACAGTATTTTCCCCCCCAAATAGAAATGCCGGGTCTCAAGTTGGAGTATACTCCGTAGGTAATGCTTGCTGCCTCTGTGTTGATGAGACCCTAATTGAATCTCCCAGTTCTTCCTCCATCTGCTGACACTTGATTCCATTTCAGTGCTTGGTTATCCATGTTGTGGACCTAGAGCCACAGGGTGAGACTTGAGTAACTGACAGCATCCTCTCCTCCTTGTGACCCTTGGTGTTCTAGCTCGTGAGCAGAGGACATATGTATATTAGCCCTGATGTCCGAGCAAACACAGCCCTGTGAACATAAGCCAGATGTTGTTCTGGGCTCCAGAAGGCGAGGCTCAGACAGCTGGCAACTCTAATAAAGGCACAGTCCCAGTTCCCCGGTGCTCACTCTCCTTTATTGCTTTTGGAGCCAGTACGGCTCCTAAAGTCAAGTGAAAGGCAATGGCATTCCTCAGTCCCACAGTGCACCTGTGATCAGAGTAGCAAGTGAAATGTTAGGCAAATTAGCTCTGGCATGTTGATTATGAGAGACTTTTGCGTACTTGGCCTGCATACATGCTAGATACAAGTAATGGCAACATCTGGGGTGGTACCTGGGGGAGCAGAAGGGAAGTCGCTTTGGCAATTCCAAAAGATGAGCTGGTGGGTGGCGCCCTGGCCTGGCTGGCCTGGCCGCGAGCTCGTGGCGCAGCCGCCGCCTCCCCATGTCTCACGGCCTCTGGCCATCTGGTGTAGGCCGCTTCTTCGGCATCTTTTCTGCATATTAACATGTAAGAGGGAGAGAGGTATTTTGAAAACAACATCCGCTCTGCGGTTAGACAGAGCTAGACTTTCTCCGTGTAATGCGCAAGGAAGCATTGAGTTTTGAAAGCTGGGTTCTCATCTTTTCGTGAGTGACTTACTCTTCGAATCGTGATGTTTTGAGAGTGAGATGAGGGCTGCCGGTCAGTTAAGATGACACAGTCGCCTTACACCAAGAGCGGGAGCACCAAGCAAACCCGGACACATGGTCACCCACCTTTCAGGGGTGAGACACACTTAAGCTTGGTAGCTCCATTGTGGAGCCAGACACGTATCAAGGCTAGTTCACGGCCACATCCAGTTTCAGAGAGCTGACCTCGGATCCACATGACATCATTTGGTGCGACCCAGACGGGAGCTGTCACAACCCAGGCACCATGTCAGGACATAGGGGAGGGGCACAACCGCTTTTTTTTTTTTTTTTTTAACTTTTAAACACGAAAGCATTGTAAAGGAAGCAGTGCATGAGTCCGCCGGGCGCGTGCACTTCTGCAGCCCTGGGTCGGTGGGAAACGCGTCCCCCAGGCCCCAGATACGTGTGTCACCTTCAGGGGGAAAATCTAAGCAGGTCTCTCAGAGTATTCTCAAGACTGTTTGGCTCCAATGAAGAGTTCCTGTAATGTTTTCCTGCTTAATTAGCCAATTCATAATTTGTAAGTTACTTAATTACTAAGTTTGTGTCTGTCGAGTAACACTAAATCTGGTCCTACTCTTCCTCGTCAAACCAACTGTAACTGATTCAGAATTCTGAGAAATGATCTGCAGGTGACAGCAGACCTGTGTCCTCCTTTTAGGGAGGGATGTGGGGAGCTTCGTAGTTCTTCAGGTCTGGCATCAGCACCCTGAAGGTGGTACTGGGGGTGTGGGCAGGGGGCCTGGGGAGAGTGGATTTGGTCCGACTTTGCGATGGCGACTTTCAATCCGATGGTAGGCCCTTTCACTACTTGTGGTGCATGTCAACTGAGACCGTCACGAAGGAAATGTTGTTGGTGCGCTGCCTCCCTCCCAACGCCCCCCACCCAGAATGATGGGTGTGTAACTGCATCCTGCAAGCCCGGGGAAGAGGTGGTGGGGAGTTAGCATTTGATGAGCCAGCAATGGCTGCTCGCTGTTCTTGGTTCACTCACTCATCTTAGTCCTCCATGCATGTTGTTGCTGTGCTGAAATAGCCATTACGCCCTCCGGGCTACACCAGACGGAGCCCTTGTGACACAGTGGGTTTAGCATTTGGGTTGCTGACTGGGAGTTCATGCACCCCCACCCCTTCCCCTGCCCAGGCTCTGCAGGAGGACTGCGCGGCAGTCTGCTTTCATCAAGGTGGCAGCCTGGGAAACCTTATGGGGCAGTTACCCTCCACCCCCCACCCCTCACCCCCCACAGGTAGCTAAGAGTCCGCATGCACTCCATGGCTGTGGTTTCAGTGGGGGGGAGAGGGGCTCTGTATCAGACTTATTTTGCCAGGAGCCTTGTTAATCGGCATTTGTCTTTCCTAACCTAGGACCCCTTGTAGATCTGAGAACATAAAACAAAGCAGTTTGCTCCCTTTGCCCTTGAGGCCTGTTCTCTTCTCAGCGAAGAGGTCCTGTCTCCAGCCATCATGGTCTCTCTGTAAGGGCACCAACCCAGGGTGGCACAGGCACAGAGAGAGGCCGGAGCAGGCTGTGTGGCAGGGGCAGGGGCTTCCCCACCACCCAGTGATCACTTAAGCCAGGGGAAGTCCTTCTGCATGCCTTAAAGCACCCAGTTCTGTCATGGGGCAGGAGGACCCCTGCTTACACTCTCTCCTGTGTCAATGGTCTCTTTTGGAGCTTGGCCTCATGTGACTCTGTTACCCATGCAAGGACCATCCTTGCCTCCCTGTGAGAACGCAGGGCTGGCCTTGCTCCCGGCTCCCAGGACTGGCCTCCCTGGGTGAGCAGTCTCCCAAGGGAGTCAGACATAGATCTCTGGAAGCCTTCGCTCACCTCCTTTTTTAGGGATAAAGCCCCAGAACAAAGCTTTCTTGCTTTCCCCTCCCCCATTTTTCTTCCAAGAGAATGGAACAGTGACTCTCCTGCTCAAAGAAGTCCTCTAATTACAAATATTTGTGTTCTTTCAGCTAAATTACCAAGTCACTAATGTGCAATGATAATGCCTCTCTTTCCATGTGCAAAGGCCTCATATTATGTGAGCTAATTTAATAGAATGTGTAATGCAGACATAATTAATAGAATTGATGATTAATTTTGAAAAGTGAACAGCTTTGTCTAATTAATTATAATACCCATCATTAGGGAATTCATCCTTGTGCTAGAAAGAAACTAAGTAGTAATTACCCAATCATGTTAATGGGACATCTTCCTATTCCCTAATTTTCTGTATTCTAGCTTCCTACACAGATACACATAACTAATAGGTTTTCTTTTCATAGGCTTTTAGACTGTAACTATGGCTTATAGAATGAGGAGCAAGAATCAAAAGATGAGCTGAGTATGTACCAGGGGAGATAAAAGGTCTGGTGGGAATTCTGAGCTGTGATAGTAGGTTTGATGTTGTAAACAGCAAATACCCCAGCCATGACACACATCACCATGTAGGACAGGGCTGGCTCAAAGCTTTTTGTGGCCTTATCTTTATCAACATGCCTTTCTAGAACGTTCCAAAGCAAAACTTGTTTGTGTCTCACTGAGATCTTTATTTGGTGGCTCCCAGGAGATGGCAGATAAGTAAGCTGTCAGCCGCCACCCCATGTGCATTCACTTGTCCCTATGGATGCTTCCCTGAGCACGTCACCCTCGCTCTGACTGTGGGCAGCTTCCAGAACCGGCTTCCCAGCAGGGTTTCCCCATGTCCGGGTATGCAGTCATTCCTGGTCAGATCTTATTCCAAGTGAGCACTGCTTGGATCATAAGCAGCTCCTTAGTTGAATGTATGGGTCTGCAGCCATGTAACCTGTGGGCTTTGGAATGCACGCTGCTTGGGTGTAGCTTCTCATTCAGATACTCTGTGAAACAGGCTGATCTTAAGTAAGCAAGTCTTGTGTTGACCGAGTAGTGCGTAACCTTCAGTACATAGGATTGTGTTTGGGGGGCTCTTATGATCTGCTGTAGTAGGTGCTGTCCAGTCCAGTTGCTAGAACTGCCCTGTAGGGGTCCCGGCCTGTAATCTTCAGTGAAATAGATTCTAGGCCTTTCTCCTGTGGAGGCACCAGGTAGAATGAGCACTGTCAAGCTTTTGTGTAGCAGCCAACGGTTAACCATCATGCTATCAGGACTCCTTTTAGCCATCTCTTAGTTGTTGGCTGGAAATAACCTGAGTCAGTACATCTTAATAATTTTTGATGATAGTTATTTGGGAGGTAGGTATACAGGAGGGGGCTTCAAGCAGCTCATGAAAAATGGAATTAAAAGATAATGGGATTTTTTTCACAAACCTATTTAAGCCCTTGCATATTTGTGTAATATATGTATATGTGTATGTATGTGCATACGCATATTAACTAAATGACTTGCATATGGTGCAAAGCTAAGACATTGAGATGACACAGCTTAAGGTCACTTAGTAACTTTTAAGTATCTTGTGTCTTTAAGGGTCTATGGAAATGAATTCTGTTGTAGAGGGGACACGTAAAAGAGGTTTCTCTTGCAGATTGAACATCTGTCTTCAACATTGGATGTTGGCCATGTGGAGCATTCACACAGAGTCACACTGGCGCACCATTCACATGGTGCGATGTTATAATTGCATTTCTTCTCCAGGGTGATCTTCAACTAGCAAATGATTAATAATATTTCTCCTTAATTGGGGACGTGCCCGGTCCCAGTCAGTTCATTATACAGTGTTACTTCTTGCTTTGATTTCTGCTTGTTGACTGCGGACTCCATCAAAAATAGTGTCCTTTCCTAGCCTAGCAGGACGTATTAAGTCTCTCTTCGGAACATCTGTTGATCATTGTGTATTTAACTCACCCC